ACTGGGTGAATTTTGTCAGTCTGTAACTTTCCAAGAAGTATAAAACTGGCTTCTGTGGTTGCAAATAGATATTTGATTAGAGAAAGCACTGCGGTCACTGTATGCAGCAGTGCACTGTGTGTTTCCTTGGTCAGTTTTCATTGACAGCCAGTCAGCTTGTCCCACTTTCTTAGCCATTCAGCAAACTGTTCAAGATAATGCACTTGTTCATCATCATTTGACAATACAGGATTTGAGAATGAGTTCAGTGTCTTTTTACCTACAAATTTACTTTTCACATTAACAATATGCCACCATCTAAGGATGGCTTCAATAAAATCTGCTGTTTCATTACTGCCTACTAGACTCAGAGCAGCAACATTGTATTCATTAAAAATTGCCAAAGCAAGAGGAACATTCTGTCTGTCCATGCTGGAGGGATAGATGGCTTTGTGGGAAAGTTTAGGTGCCAGTTTTGCAATATTCTTTTGCTCACTATAATACAGTTTCTTTAAATACGAAAAGTTAGCTTCTGCAGCTCTATCACTATCACAGGCGTTTAGCATTTGTCCAGTTATTAAAGGATAAGTAAATGTCTGGTTTGTGTCCTTCTGGTTGATCCAGTAGTTCCACATGCATTTTAGCAAGTGCACAGAATCATGCAGTAAAAATATTTTTTTATTAGCAAAATCTGGGTTCTCAAAAGTTTGGCTTGGTTTCAGGAGATCACTGTAAACTCTGCGATTGACAGCACTATTATCTGCAATTACAGCAACCACTGTGAAACCACACTCCTGTACAAAGTGGATACAGTGGAGTAATTTCAAACGTAGATCCTGAGATGTCATTCTGTTCACAGGTGAAAGTTCTATAATTTCCTGGTAGCTTCCAAAAACTGAAGATATGAGGAAAGCCTGCACTGTTGTTGCTGCTTCTTTTGCATTGTCTGCATTGCCAAATATTTTGCCCCCAGAGTAAGTAATTGCAGATTTAACATATATTTCATCCATCTGAACTACTACAATCTTTTATAGCTCTGTTAGTTTGTCTTGTTTCAATTTCAAGTACTGTGAAATGCTGCCAGTATGAGTAGACAATGACAACTGTGAAGTTAAATTGTGCACTGTTCTTTGATGAGGCAGGCACAACATACGAGATTTTCTTATAAACCGGTAGCATGCTGGAGATTTAATGAACAGCATGAAAGCGAAACATAATGTGCTACAACTGTAACGCCTTCTGTTTTTTAACACGGTTAAAAGTTGCAGCTGCTCTGCAAGAAAGTTTACTTGTGTGTCAGTTACTTCATCAGCTGTCCCATTAGGAGTCCACTGTTGCTCTGCAGCACTCTTCAAAATACTTCCTGATTCTTCCACTAAATCTGTGAAGCTATTTTGGCTTTGAATTTTACTATAATCCCAGGCATTGTAATGAATTACAAGATTTTCAAGCTGTGACCATCTCACAAGTTTATTGTTGTCTACAATCCATTTAAGGTCTTTGTCTTTAACTTTTTTATTTTGTACAAAGACTTGTATAGTCATATCAAGTAACACCTTTATGCTGACACCTATGGATGGTGCAGAGTCTGACTGTATGGTAATGACATACAAAACAAAACATGCTAAAGCTCCATCTACAGAAGTGTGTTTCCAATTTTTTTCAAAGTGTCCTTTCAGTTTGTTTCCTATCTGTGACTCCAGATCTTGGAAATCTGTAATGATATCTGAGGACAGCCAATCATTTACTTTTTGATCATAATTACGATTAATATGTGATACACGTTCCTCTGGAGTTTTGCGAGAGGCTGGTACTTTCACCGATAAATAGGATGGAAGATCTGGAAAGATAGTTGGATAAGCATCTTTTTTTAAAGCGGGATTCTTTCTTGGGAGTATATGCTCGATTCCAGATTTGTCTGTATATTTATCAGACACAATAATATCTGACGTACGAAAATGTTTTATACATACTACACTGGTTTTCCCAGGAGTCCAATTTTTCCGTGGAATATGTTTCAGCCATTTGTCTCTTAAAAGAGAATTCGAAGGGAATCTGAAGCAACTTACATATCCACTAGAAAGGTCATAATTTGAACGACACTCGGGTACAGAACATTTAGCAGGCATAGTTCCTCGAAAACCAACACACTGACGATAAATCCAACGTAAATTGCAGAAGTTGCTTACTAAATCTACTCCCTGAAATACCGCTTATAGGTGAATCAGACGTGAAAATTAAACCACATTAAAAACTTTCACAAGAAAAATAAAAGCGAACACACACTGAAACATCCATTTTGAGTTTGCCTCGGGAAGTGACGTCACCAGTCGAGTTTCAGGGCCTGTAATTTTCGAAGGCGTCGGGTAAAACCGTCGACTCAATACAACGTCACACCGACATGACACCCCTGCAACTTAGACTTACCTGTTTGAATGAGTGTCCAATTACAGTGTACTGGGCCCGACTTCGTTACTTAGCTCAGTGTGCTTAGCCTGAGTTCTTTACATGAACTAACTAACTAAGCTAACAAACTAACTAAGCTAACTAACTAACAAACTAACTAAGCTAACTAACTAACTAACTAACTAACTAACTAACTAACTAACTAACTAACTAACTAACTAACTAACTAACTAACTAACTAACTAACTAACT